ACCTTGTCAGGATCAGGTTGCACACAATGCTCACTTACAATGTGTCCTAAGTAAAACACCTCTTTCTGGAACAAGTGGCATTTCTTGGGATGGAGTTTGAGGTTTGCTGCTTTTAAACGCTTGAATACTTCCTCTATCCGGGACATTTCCTCATCAAAATTTGTTGCAAATACAATGACATCATCCAGGTACATTTGGGCTATCCTCCATTATAGGCCTTCCAGTACTCTTTCCATCAGCCTATCAAATGTCGCTGGAGCATTGATAAGCCCGTATGGCATCACATGGTATTGCCAGAGACCTTGGCTGTAACTAAATGTAGTCTTAGGTTTATCTGCTTCAGCCATTTTCACTTGATGGAAACCCGACTTTAAGTCCAGAGTTGAAAACCACCTGGCTCCACTTAGGGCATCAAGAATATCATCAATTCTTGGCAGTGGGTATGAGTCATTTTCAGTTATACTGTTAAGAGCCCTGAAGTCCACACAGCAATGTTGGGTTTCATCCTTCTTCTGGACTAACACGACGGGAGCTGACCAGGGACTATCTAATTTCTCGACTATCCCTTCCTTAATTAGGCCATCCATGACCTTCTCTATCTCTTGTCGCTTTGCTGGAGCTATTCTCCTCGGAGGGATCTTTGTTGAACGGTGATTTTCTGTGTTTATTCTATGCAGCCGAGGTCATGATCTCCTTTTGAAAAGACGTCTGCATAATTCGTCAATAGTTCCCTCACCTAAAGAGCCTGTGATGATGACAAATGGACTATGCTCTTATCATAGAGGTCAGTTAAATGCTCTGGGAGAGGATGTCCTTTCTTGATGGTTGTATTTCTTGCCTTAACGTAGACTGGCTGTATTTCTTGGCACACATCCAACAATGCCCCTTCCTTAAGTGTCTGCTCACATTTAGAGAAATTGGACACTCTTATGGGTACTACTTGATGACCTGCCACAAGTGACCTTCCAATCTTCACATCCACTGGCCTGGATGGGTCTTCCACTACTTCCACAAGTATCAGGCTTCCTTGGAGATGTTCTTTTATCCTACCCCAACTTATCTTCTCTGACATAGGGGGTATTGTAGTTGACTTAAGTGCTGTGACATGCAAATCAACAGATGCAGCAACACTTATTGGAATTTGGCCTTTGTTGTTCCCAATCGTCATTTTATCGAAGTTAACTACATGCTTCCTTGGTAGTAAATAGTCGAACCCTAATATGCATTGGTCTTTAATGTCAGCCAAGTATACTTTGTGTCTGTCCTTCATGCCCATGAGCTGAATAGTTACCTACACTGGTCCCCACAACCTTGCATAATGTCCTGTCACACCACAGAGCTTCTGTATGGCTTCTGGTACTCCTTTGTGATCTAGCACTCTGATACTCACAAGGGTTTGCTGGGATGCAGAATTTATGACAAAGTTGCACTTTTGGCCCTCCAGCTTTCCTGTCACGTAGACACTATGTGTGCTTGCCATTTTACACTTAGCTGTTGGGACTTTCATAATGGATGTTGGTGAGCGTCCCTCAACACCAACCACTACTGGTTTCCCGAAGCTGACTTATTGGTAGTATTCTTCTTACACTGTCTAATCATATGTCCTTGCTCTCCACAGTTCCAACAACCTTTCTGGGTAGCAGCCTTCCCTGTGTTGAAGTTGCCAGCATTGAGCTCTCTTGTGCCCATGTTTATTATAGTGCCAGTAAAGTC